ATGGTTTCGATCCATGGACCTGGGGGTTATGAGCCCCCCACTCTCCCACTGAGCTACGGTGCTGGTGAAGAGTGTGCGGTTTCATCTTGAGGTATTTGAAAGGAAAGAAAATACTTTCCATCCACGATTTTTTAATTTACCGCACCTTATTTGGGTATGTTTTCTGCGTTGCTCCTGTGCCGACGATGCCTCCTCGGCCTCCCGACCCCTGCAGTCTGTGGTGAGTTCTACGGCTTTTTCTCTCGAGGGCGCTTTTTTGCTGAAATATTTCGAATTTCAATATGCAATTCGCTCATTTTAATGTTCTAGTGGATGAATTCATAGAGAAATAGCTCAAACTGCGGGCCGCGAGTGATCGCTTGAGTTGCTGCACAGCTGCAGGGCTGGCAGGCGTCGGCAGCCCCCCTGGCCCTGGTTTTTCTTCATGTATTTCGGGTATTTGTTGCCCAAACCCTATTTTTTAATGATTTATTTTGCTGAAGGGGACCTTTGTAAAGCTAGAAACCTGCAGACAAATGCTTCTGCGTCGGTTTCCTGCGCCTCCAGCCCGCTCCTGTGTCGCGGCCGAACCGCTCGGGGCACGGGGCCCCTGTACTCCTTTTCCAGCTCTTTGCTACGCAAACCCCCTTTGTCTTAATTTAATTAACATCCTCCCTTCCTCCAGTTTCCTCTGTCACCCACTTTACACCTACATTGACTGGGATACTGGGGGCCCCTGGCTGGGCCCGACAGCGGCGGGCAACGGTCGCAGGGGGGGGCCCTCTCAAGATATTCCAGCTAAAGTAGCAACAGCAACAAAACTGGCATCATCAACGACAGCAGGTGCGCCCGTTTATGGAAACTGCTGCTGCTGCCGCTGCAGCTGATGATACAAAATGGGGGCCGCTCCCACCACTCTGCACTCCTCTTCGCGAGGCAGGTTCCTAGATTCAAGAACGCATTTTCTTTACAAGGGACAGCATGCCCGAGATGGTTGCAGCAACACCATTAATGGAGCGGATTGTCACCTGGATCAGCAGCAGCTGTATCAGCAGTTGCAGCATCTGCTGCGGCGACAGCTGCAGCAGCTGGGGTCGACCCCCTTTTCCGAATCGGAACTCGCGGATGCTCTTAATGGGCGTGTTCCGTTGCTGCTGCAGATTGAAGGCAGGCCAGGGCCTCCGGTAAAAGTTTGGGTAAGAAGCGCTTCACGAAAGCTTGCTTCAGGATCCCCTGAGAGGGAGGCGGCGTTGCATTGGGGGCCCCAGTTGCAGTTGGTTTGCATAGATCACAAGCTTGCTTCTCAGCTGCAACTATTGTGGGGGAGGGTTTCTGTAGCAGCAGCAGCAGAAGCCGATGCTGTTGCTGCTGCAATTGCGACGCCTCTAAGCTGCGACCGCGAGCATGACTTACCCGTGCTGCGCTGCTGCAGCAGCGTATCCTACAGCAAACCTCCCGATGTTTATGCAGAGAATAGCTGCTCAGGCCTCCCGCTCTTGCGTGTGTCCCCTCCTCCTAATCCTTGGGTGGCAGCTTGTTTGTGGAGAAAGCGCTTCTACTCTGCTGTCTTCGGCTTGCTGCAGCACCAGCCGCAGCAGCAGCAGCAGCAGCAACGGCTACTGCAGCAGCACGGGAATGAAGACAGTGCTGCCGTACAGATTGCTGATGGGTTGCCCCTTCGTTTGTGGCAGATTGAGTGGCTGAGGCTGCAGAGGCTGTTTGGAGATTCACTCCAAGTGCTATTGAAAACAGTTCAGCAGCAGCAACAACAACAGCCACAGGCGCAGCAAGGCGCTCAGCAGCAGCTACAGAAGCGCACTGCTACAGACTGCCCATACGTCAGCCTAGCGTCTCGTCTGACTGCGGCTTTGGCAGCGTCAATGGCCCCAGCAACAGCAGCAACAGCAGCAGCACCACCACCACCAGCGCAGTCGGGAGTTCAGTCGTGTTGCTGCGGTTTGTGCGGCCCCGAGGTTTCCGAAGAGGGCAGCGTCTGCAGAGAGGACGCTTGCTCACCTGCTGCTGCTGCTGCCGCTGCTGTTGGGGGGGCTTATCCAACCAGCCCGCTGCTATCTGAGGAAGACAGGCAACAGCTCCTTGCTGATGCTCGTAAAGAAAGCCTCGAAAGAGAGCCTCTGCTGCAGGCCACTGCTGCTGCTGTTGCTGCTGCAGATGGTGCTGCTGCAGAGCCTTCTGCGGCTGCAGCAAAAGGACCCCTGCTTAGAGTCGTGCAAACAGGCCTGCCCCCCCTGAGAGAGGGTTCTTTTCTGCTGTATGAGCAGCAGAAGCAGCAGCAGCAGCAATGGGAACCCCTAGGTTACGTCAGCATTCAGAAAGTCGAAGGGATGAGGGAGGGCTCTGCTGCTGCTGCATCTGTTGCTACTGCGTCTGATGCCTGCAGCGACGGCGCAGCAGACTCCCTGCTGCTGCATGCATCTTTGAAGGAGCCTGCATGCACACCGTTTCTAAACTGTGGCACCAAAGCTCATCTCTTCTTCCAGAGCAACAGCAGCAGCAGCAACAGCAACAGCAACAGCAGCAACAACAGCAGCAGCAGCACATATCCACCTGCTCACTGTTGCTGCATCGTTGATGTGCAGGTGCACACTCCCTCGCTTTTACTCAGTCCCTCAGCAGCAGTCCGCAGCAAACCTGAGAAATCCCAGCGGCTGCTGCTGCACGTGCATCCTGCGTACCTCTACCTCCTCGAGCAGCAGCAGAAACAACAGCAACAGCGGGAGCAACAGCAACAGTACCAACAGCACCAACAGCCGCAGCAGCAGCAGCCAGAGGATAAGGAAGAAGATGCCGATGCGTGGACTGCAGCAGGAGAGGCGCTGCTCCTTCGCGCCATTCAGTGCTGTCGCGTGGGAGAAGCAGCCACATTTCAGGTGCAGGTGCAGCAAGGCAGCAGCAGCAGCAGCAACAACACGAGCGAGTCAGGACAGCAGCAGCTAGTAGTGGCGCTGTCTGTACACCTGATAGACGTCCTTCCCCTCCCTTCCTGCACGCATTCATTTTTCTTCCGCGACAGCAGCAGCAGCAAGACACAGCACCAGCATGATCCGCTGACAATCAAGCAGCGCCCCTCTGAGCTGCGGCAGCAGCAGCTGTTGCGGTGCATCCAGTGGCAGAGGGCCTTGCTGCTAGTGCAGCGCGAGCTGCAACAGTTTGCCGCTGCATGCATTGCTCTGCTGCTGCAGCAGCAGGAGCACCCAACTCCATTGCTGCCTCGGCTGCTGACTTGTGCCTGCAAGAGCTGTCGGGACGCTAGAAAGCCCCCTGCAGCTCGAGAGCAGCAGCAGCAGCAGCAGCAGCAGCAGCAGCAGCAGCGCCGCGGAAGCTCGAGGGCTCCATTACCCCGCCGCAATAGCAGCATGACAACGGCAGCTGCAGCAGCAGCCCGCAGTTTGCTGGGCTTATCTTCTACGGAGCAGCAGCAGCAACAGCAGCTACAGCCGAGCACAAGTAAGCTAAGGGGCCTCCTCCTGCGAGGCAGAGCACGAATGTCACGGCCCAAAGTGGAGGCAGACCAGCAGCAGCAACAACAGCAGCAGCAACAGCAGCAGCAGCAGCAGCAGCAGCAGCACCATAGCGGCTCTGTTGTCCGGAGCCTGAGCCGACAAGGCCTCGCCTCCACCTTTCGACGCCTCCGCAGCCAAAGCATCGACAAGTGGAAGTACCAGCAGCAGCCGCAGCAGCCGCCGCCGTCTCAGATCTCAGTGCCTGCAACCGCAGCAGCATCTGCCGCAGCTTCAGGTGCTGGCTGCGCAGCCGCAGGGGCTACCCTTACCAGCAAAGGAGACCCCGACAAAGACATCGGGGGGGGGAGCATTTGGAGTCTGTGTGCAGCTGCTCGAAGAGACAGCACTCTTCTCTTTCTCTCCGACTTTCAGCAGCTTTTTAGTAGCAGCGGCAGCGGCGGCGACACATCGTTGCTTCAATCCTACCGGCGGCGCCTGAGGGACCTGCTGCAGCAGGGGATCTGCATACAGGGCGTGTTGATCCAGCTTATCAGCAGCAGCAGGTTGTGGCAACAGCTGCAGCAGCAGCAGCGAGCAGCACAAGTAGCCCTGTGGAGGCAGTCGCAGGTTGCACTCTCACCATTGTTTCTGCTGCTGGAGACAGGAGGTCTCTGCTTCTTTGTCTGTCCCATACAGCAGCAGCACCTTCAAGGAGGTCAGCTGGTGCTGCCTCTCAGCCTGCAGCGCCACTCAATGGGTTGCGAAGAAGCTGCAACAGCAGCAGATGCAGCAGCAGCAGCACAGCGTGGTGGCGCATGCGCCATCGTACATGATCAGTTGCAGCAGAAGCAGCAACAACACCAGCAACAGCAGCAGCAGCACGAACTTGGGGCCCCGTTAGCACTCACAGACCCACTGCCGCCACTGCCCCACACTGCTGCTGCCTTTGTAGGGGTCTTGTGTACAGAGGCCGCTGCTCTTGAGGCTGCAGGAGATGCAGTTTGGCGGCTACAGCAGCGCTTTCTGCAGCTCCAATTCAGCCAAGAACAACAGAAGGAGCAACAGCAGCAGCAGCAGCAGCAACAGCAGCAGCGAGTGTGGGGCCTTGTATATGAGGCTAACAATGCGCTCCCTTGCTTCGTGCCGGTGGAGGTGTCTGCAACAGCGACGCAGAAACAAAGGCAGCAGGCTTTCCTTGCAGCAGCAGAATCATTCTCGGTCTCTGCTGCTGATAGTAGAAACCAACAGCAGCAAAGCAACTGGAAGCCGCTTCATCATTGTCCCCACGTCTCTCAGCACTCCTGTTGCTGCTGTGCTTCAGCAGGAGCTAGCCAGGCGAAACTCTGCAGCAGAAACAGCAGCAGCAGCAGCAGCATGAACGCTTTCTGCCATCGTTGTAGAGTTGCAGCAGCTCCCCCCACGTGGCCAGCAGCAGCAGCAGCAGCAGCAAGCACTTTTGAGGGGGAGACACCTGCAGCAGACTTCGTCACCGGAGAGGCCTACGTCTGGACCTCTAAGGTGAATGCCCCCACCATTGAGGGGGCCCCGATTGAGTCGGCGACCCTCGCTGTGCTGCCGAAGGGAAGTGTTAAATACAGCCGTTTCTTCTGCAGCAGCAACAGCAGCAGCAGCAGCAGCATGAGACGGCGTGCCAAGGCTGTAGCAGAGGCCCTGCTGCAGCGGCACTTGCCTCACACAGACGGCCCCACAGTACAGGCGGCTCTACGGCAGGGAGGTCTCTCTGCTGGTGTGGGCATGTGGCTGCTGCTAGATGAGTTGCTGCTGCTACTGCACCAGGAGGCGCCGCAGCTGCCCCAGTGGGGAGGCGGTAGCGAGGCAGCAGCAGCAGCAGCTGCTGCTGCTGCTGCTAAGGACGAACAGCAGCAGCAGATTTTTTGCAGCAGCAGTGCTCAAGTCGTTGCCACTGCAACTGCATGCGTCTTATTAGGCAAATCCTTGCAGAAGGTGCTGCGGTACGAGCAGCAAGTTGCATGCTGCTGCTGCAGCCCTGCTGCTGTTTGTCATCACTTCTCTAGCTGCGCCGCTCTGTGGGCGTTTTCGCGCGGGGCGCAGCGGCTGCTGCAGCAGGAAGCAGCAGCAGCAGCATCGACAGCAGGAGCAGCAGAGGCTGCGCAGGGTGGAAAAGGTGTGCATGAGAGCTGCTTGCTGCTGCTCCACCGCCGTGTCTGTCTGTCTCTTGCTGCTTCTCTGCTCCGTGCTGATGCGTTCAGCTCGCTGCTGCTGCCTCTGCCCGTGTTGCTGCGTTGCTGTCTCTCTGCCGCTCTCGAGAACCCTTCTGTTCTGTTTGAGGAGCTGCAGCAGCAGCAGCACGCGTTGTCTATCTGCCGCTACGCACCTGTTTCTCGGCCTTGCGCCACCCCATCTGCAGCCACGGCAGCCGCAGCAGCAGCAGGGGCAGGAGCAGATGCAGCAACAGGAGAGGAGAACGAAGCACCAGCCCAGCGGCTTCCGTGGGGCCGAGTGGCGGTGAAGTCTCCTTTGCCGTCTGCAACGGCTTGTGTGTCTGTCTTGCTGCTTGCTGAGCTGGTGCTGCATCCTCCTGATGCATGCAGCCCCTTAAAAGCTGTTTCTGCGGAGCCACCAGAAGAGGAATACCTCGTAGGGGCCCCCTTGCTGGATTGGGGGTGGCTGGGGGCCCCCGGGGCCTCAGCAGCTGCTGCACTTCCCTTCGGAAGGAGGCGACTTCATCGCTCGTCTCCACCTGCGGCCCCTGACCTCACGGGGCCCCTGCTGCATCCGCTAAGGGCCCCCAGGGGGCCCCAAGCAGAAGCTGTGGCGCAGATTCTAAGCCCTGAGTTTCTCGCTGCAGTTCCTGCAACCCTCAGGGGGGGCCTCCTCTGTCAGTTGCTGTTGCGCGCCTTGGCGCCGCCAGAGCCCGACCTGTGGAAGGCATACCGCAAGCAGCAGCAGCAGCAACAGCAACAGCAACAGCCGCAACAGCAGCAGCACGGATTTGTTCTGGGGAGTCGCCTGGACGGCGTCGCTGCAGCAGCAGACGATCACTTGCTGCGGCTGTTAATGCTGCTGCTGCTGCAGTTTGATAGTTGGCTAGGGTTTTCGGGGCTTCCGGAGCAGCAGCAAGCCGAGTGCCCCGCTGCAGCGAGGCGACCAGCAGCAGCAACAACAACAGCAACAGCAGCGTCAGCAGCAACAGCAGGAGACTCCGATGTGTCTCGGCTAGTGGTTCCCTTTGGCTTAGATGGAGGCTTCTGCGCCCCAGGCAGCAGCCTCAGGCAGCACCAGCTGAACATTTTTGCTGCTCTGTCGAATGCAGTTGAGGGGCTTCGGTTGGGGGGCCCCCCCAGAGGGCCCCAAGGCTCTCTTCTCGCCGCTGTCCTGTGAGTTCAAACCCTAAACCCTAGGACTCTGTGCTCTCCAAACCCTAAACCCTAAACCATCAGACGTACTGCTGCATCCACACTTTCTTCTCTAGCTTCGGAAACTCTCTTCTTGGCTAGCCACAGGGCCTTGCAAGGTAGCCGTATCTACCGCCCAAACGCCTAGCTTCTGCGTAGCTAGCTAACTATCCGCGTAGCTAGCTAGCTATCCCAGTACCTATCTGGCTAGCTGCGCAGCTAGCCAGTTATCTGCGTAGCTAGCCGGGTATCTGCGTAGCTAGCTGGCTGCCTGCGTAGCCAGCTCGGTATCTACGCAGCTAGCTAGCTCTCCTCCCGGGTAGCTCGATATTTACAGAGGTGACGAGCTATGGAGGTGGCGGGGCTTGCTTGGGGCTTGCATCTACTCTGCTCTGCAGCTGCTGAGGAGACAAGCAGCTAGCCAGTTAGCTAGTTGCGCCCTAGCCAAGCGCTGGGCTATCTGCTGAAGAAGCATATAAGGGCAGCGAATCAAGGGTGTTTGTGCTTCTTTCTCAGGGGCCTGTGTCGACTGAGACGGGGCTTTGCTGCTTCCGCGAAGAGAAGGCTGATGGCAGCCCTTGATGTGCTGCAGAGGCACTACGGCTGCCCCCTGCTTGAAGGCAAGTGCATGCTGCTGCTGCTCCTGCGGCTGTTGTTGCTGCTCTTTCTGCTGCTGCTGCTGCTGCTGTTGTTGTTGTTGTTGTTGTTGTTGTTGTTGTTGTTGTTGTTGTTGTTGTTGTTGTTGTTCCTGCTGCTGCCTGTCAGCTCATAGCGCTTGCTGCTCTGCTGATGTTGCGTCTGCTCAGAGGGGGCGGGGCATCCCTTTGCTTCTGTGCTAAGTTGGCTGCTGCTGCTGATGGCCTACTGCAGCTGCGCAGTCCCAGACGCTGCCCTCAGCAGCAACAGCAGCAACAGCAGCAGCAGTGAGATCCTCAACTGTTTCGTGGAGACAGCAGCGGCAGCAACGGCGCGTGTTGGGGTGTATACTGACCTACTGCGGGTGCTGCGCCTGAGGCTTAGCGTCTGCCCATTACCTGTGGGGCCCCCTCACCTCGTCCCTCGCCACATCCCTCTGCTGCCTCTGCTTTCTGTAGACAAGCGAGTGCTTCCAGCAGACTGCAAGGGCTTCTCTGGCCTCATGGGAGAGAACAGCACTCCTGCTGCTGATGGTGCTGCTGCTGCTGTTGCTTTGCCTAGTAGCAGCCCTACGGCTGCTCAGCAGCAGCAAAAGCCAGCTGTCCTGGTCCCATCCGAGTCGGCTCACCCAACATCTCCCCTTGCTAGGAAGCAGCATGAACAAGCTTCGCGTCTCTTCGGGTGTACGTACACCCCAAAGTACCCTGAGCACCGGCATTGCCATCTACCGGACCCTCTGCTGCAGCCCCATGTTGCATGCGCCGTCGTTCTCTACAACATCAGGAGACTGGGGGCCCCTGTTATTCACTGGGCCTCTGCTGTATGTCCCCGAGGAGATAGAGGAGACCCAGCAGCAGAGTGGGCCCTTGCAGCTGTCCTCGGTGGTGCTGCTCCTCCTTCTGCTACAGCCCTTGCTGCCGCGTCTGCTGCAGCTTCTGCTGTTGCTCCTGCTACAGCTTCTGCTGTAGCATCTGCTTCGGCTCCTGCTGCAGCTTCTGTTGCAGCTTCTGCTGCAGGTCTTGCTGCTGCGGGTTCAGCAGCTGCAGCAGGAACAGCAGCTGGAGCGAAGTCAAGCTGCGGGGTTCCTGCTGTCAGTGGGGGCGAGTGCACGTTGTGTTTGCCTCCGTACGTCTTAAGGGGAGAAAGCTGCGAGCATGTGCTGCAGTGGTTGCAGTGGCAGCAGCAAACCCGGCCGCTGCTGTTTGCATGCGGCTTGAATGAGAAGGGGGCCCTGGGCCTCGGGGAGGCGGCGTACTTTCCTGTTGACCCGGTCTTAGAAGAAAGAGACAACTTCGTTAAGGCAGCAAGAGGGACAGACGTTTGGTGGGTACTGGCTGCTGCTGCTACACTCTTTGCTGCTGCTGCTGCTGCTGCCTTCCTGCGCATTCCCAGGGCTGCTGCTCTCTTTCAATGCTGCTGCTGCTGCCTTCCTGCACCTTCCTCCTGCACGCTCTGGCCCTCTGCTGGTGTTGTGGTCGGCGTTGTTGCTGCCCCTGTTGCTTTGCTGCTGCTGCTGCTGGTTTCTGGTGCCGCTACACTGCTGCTGCATGGCTGCTCCTGCCGGTTCCTGCTGCTGCTGCGCTGCTGCTGCTGCAGGTTTTGCTGCCAGCCGCAGCAAGTGGTGGCGCTACCGGGGACTGTCTCCAGTGTCTCTGCGGGGCTCCATTACAGCGCAGCAGTTACATCTGACGGTCTCCTTTTCGCATGGGGGTCTCTTGATGGCTGTGTAGACGATGCTGAACCCAGCAGCAGCAGCAGCAGCAACAGCAACAGCAGCAGCAGCGCAGACAGCAGCGGCACCTTGCGGAGACACCCTGCAGATCACTCAAGGGACTACGGCCTCAGCGAATCTCTTCGCTTCTCCTGGCTCGACTTTCCAGTTCGCTCGCATGCAGCGGCTGCAGTGACAGCAGCAGCAGCAGCCTGGCAGGAGCAGCAGCAGCAGCAGCAGCAACAGCGACAGAAGGAAAATCGGGTCTTCTTACCGGCTCTGCTCAGCCAAAGCAGCACTGCACCCTCTATCTGTAGAGGCCCCTCCTATTCTGCTGCAGCTTTTGCTGCTGTTTCATGCGGCCCTGACTTTTGTGCTGCGGTAACAACAACGGGATGTCTGTACACCTGGGGCAACAACGCGAACGGTGTGTTGGGGCTTGGAGACCTCCTCAGCAGGGATCGACCTGCTGCAGTGTCTCCTGAGCTCTTTGTTTCTGTGGCCACGGGCAAACAGCAGCAGCAGCAGCAGCAGCGCCTGCTGCAGGTAGCTTGCGGGAATTCACATGTTGCAGCTCTTACAGCAGAAGGGTGTCTCTTTGTGTGGGGCAGCAACAGCCACGGTCAGTGTGGCTTCTGCAGCGAGAGAGCAACAATCCTGTCTCCGCAGCAGCTGCTGCTGCTAGACCTCTCCCGCATGCCTTTAAGCCGCCTTACCCTAATTCACTCCCTCGTTGCTGCAAGCAGCGACAACAACAACAACAGCAGCAGCAGCAGCAGCAGCAGCAGAGCTTCGAAAGGCTGGCTGGGCCTGGGATATGCCCCAACAGGAGGGGCTACCGCGACTTTGTTAGTAGCAGATGCTGCAGGGTTTGCTTCGCTACTAGATAAGGAGGATCCACTGAAGTGTCTCTTTGTGGAGTCTCTTATTAAATTCTCTCTGATTGCTTGCGGCTCGCTGCACACCATCTCTCTGGGCACAGCCGGCGAGCAGCAGCACGAAGGGTCCCTACAGTGTCTGTACACCTGGGGCAGCAACACCAACAACTGCCTAGGACTTCCTGCAGCAGCAGCAACAGCAGCGGCTGCAGCGGCATGCGCACCACCGGTGCGTCTTTCTCTTGCCGCCTTTACCGGGGAGACCCTACAGCAGCAGCGACAGCAGCAGCAGCAGCAGCAGCAGATACCGCGCATCAAGCAGATTGCTGCCGGCGGCATTACCAGCGCAGCTCTGTCTGAGGGGGGGGAGTTGTGGCTGTGGGGCGACCTTCAATCTTTTGTTTCAAGGTAAGGAGGCCCCCCCCACTGCAGCAGCACAAGCTTCAGGCCTGCTGCTGCTGCTGCTTCTGCTGCTGCCGGTGGCTCCTTGCTGCAGCTCCTCTAGCAGCAACACAGCGTGCTAATTCCTGCCTGTGTCTCCTGCTTTTCGGGTGTCTGTGCAGCGGCGACTCTGCTGAATTTGCTGCTGCCCCTCCTACGCTTTTCGAGTTAATAGAAGACGAGAGATTCTTTGCTGGTGATGGGGAGGATGCAAAGGGCAGCAAAGTACCTCTCTGTGGCGTTGCATTTGCTGCTGAGGGGGCCCGCCTGCTGCTGTTCACGGAAGAAGGAGACCTTGTTGCAGTAGGAGACGGCTGCGTGCAGCAGCAGCTACTTTCCCTTCATCTCAATGACCAGCAGAAGCAGCAGCAGCAGCAGCAGCAGCAGCAGCAGCAGGAATCCTGGAAGAAAGCTGCAGCAACCATCGCCCCCCGCTTCTGGGCAGACAAGAGCCGAAGACAGCGCCTAAGAGGGGCCTGCAGGATTCACGTGCCATACAGAAAAATAGTGAAGGTGAGCAGCAGCAGGGTTCCCTGCTGCTGCTGCTGCTGCTGCCGCTGCAGTAGCAGCGTATCGCCGAGCTTCTTAGTAGCTGCTCCCCACGCTAAATTTGCCTTTCTGCTTCTGTGCATTTGCTGCTGTTGAGCGGAGTGCTGTCTTTTGCCTGTCTCCTCTGTCTCAGGCTTCTGCTGGTCTTGACCATTTGCTGCTGCAAACTGTCTCTTCCGGCAGCAGCAGCGAGCTGCTGCCGCAGCAGCCGCTGCAGTTCCTTAAGGCTATGCACCGCCCTCCGCCGCAGCTGCGCCTCTGCCAAGCACCCACTCCCCGAGGCAGCAGCGGCTCGAGGACCCCCAGCAGCAGCAACAGCAGCAGCAGCAGCACTGCAGACTGCACGCGAATGAGTAGCTGCGCAAGCAGTACAGGCGTACCTTCCTCCAGAGACACTCCGCAGGGGACAGACACCGCAGCAGCGCGGCCTTCAGCTGCTATTAGAAGCCACAGTGCTACTCCTGCATGCAACGCGGAGGGGGACCTGCAGCAGCATAAACAGCAGCAGCAGCAGCGGCAGCAAACAGAGGGCCCCCCTAAGCGGCTTTGGGAAGCCGCCTCTACGGTGTCCAGCAGCAGCAGCAGCAGCAACAGCAGCAGCAGCAGCAGCAGCAGCATTGGCTTGTCTTTGGCTACAGCAGCACGAGAAGCAGCAGCAGCAGGCCTTCACCTAACACTGAGACACCTTGCAAGTGCGGGAGAAGGAGCAGCCAAAGCAGCAGCAGCACGAGCAGCAGAAGCTGTCGAGAGAGTGGCAGACGCACACGGAGCAGCAGTTGTTGAGGGCCTTCTAGATCAGCTGGATAGGTAGGCGCATGTCCCTTGCAGCAGCAGCAGCAGCACCAGCTGGTGCTGCTGCTGCAGCATCGCCTCTATGCGTGCCCTCTACACTGATGCAAGCTTCATTTGGAGTGTATATACACTCCGTTGGCCCCGCTATTGTCGCTTCTGTAGATTTGCCAGCGATTCAGACTGCGGTGTATCTGCAGCTGCCTTTGTCTTCATGCTTTTTTTGTTTGCTGCTATGTTCTTTGTGTAGGGGATCGGGAGCGGTCTTCAGTGCCCTGAGCAGCGGCATTTCTTATATCCTCCCTCGTTCAAAGCCTGCTGCGGGTTCCAGCACTGCAGCAGCAGCAGCAGTGCCTCCACCACCAGCAGCAGCAGCAGCAGCAGGCAGCAGCAGCAGCAGCAGCAGCAGCAAACCCACTCGAAGTGCTGCTGCTGGGGCGCGTCTGACTGGGCAGTCTTTGAGGCCTTACCATTCCTCTTTCGGGGAGACGACAGCACCGATCCCCGTGCCAGCAGTTCGTGTGGGGCCCCCACAAACGCTGGGGACCTCGCTGCGGCCTCTGCTGCAGCAGAAAGCCTCGCCCTTTGCGCGCCACTTGCAGCTGCAGCAACAGCAGCAGCAGCAGCAGCAGCGGATGTACAGCATGCCTCCCCGTTCGCAGAGCCTAACCTCTCTACCTTCCTATGGAGCGCAGCAACTCGACCCGGTGCTGCAGCAGCAGCTGGAGAAGGGGCGCCATGATGCTTGGCAGCGCTTGACGTCTGCGGGTAGGATCCCTGCTGCTGCTTCCTTCACCCCACAGACAGCGCGGTTGCAGCAGCAGCACCAGCTGCAGCAGCAACTCTCTCACACTGTCCGTCCTCTGCGAGGCAACGCCTCCGTTATACAACTCCCAGATATCCCGCAGCCCCAGCAGCAACCCACCCAGCAGCCAAGGCAGCAGCAACAGCAGCAGCAGCAGCAACACAAGCAGCAGCGGAGCGATGCCCTGAGGGAGCTGCTCAAGTGCAACACTGCCCCCGCCGTGGTGCTCCCGAGTGAGAAGACGCTGCTATATAACAGTACCTTGCCCCACCGACAGAGCATTGGAGCTGTTGCTGCTGCTGCTTCTTGGCAGCAGCAGCATCAGCAGCAACAGCAGCAGCAACAGCAGCAGCAGCAGCTTGCAGAATGGTCTACACCTCCTCCCAGCACGCCAATGTCTGGTAGATGGTCGAATCAGCATAGACAGTCTGCAGAGAGCAACCCGGCCTTTGCTGCAGCAGCAGCAGCAGCAGCAGCAGCAGCAGCAGCAGAGGAAGACGACAGTACGCTGAATCTATCTTACTATCCGCAGCATGATACGAACAGCAGCAGTGCCAGCCGCCACAGCCTTGGTGCTGCAGCACTTCCTGCTGCGGCATCACAGGAGTCTATGAGGCGCTCCTGGCTGCAGCAGCAGCAACAGCAGCAACAGCAGCAGCAGTTTTCAGGACTCACAGCAGCAGCTGAGCACTTAACTGTGCCGTCCTTCTCGGTGTCCCCCTTGCCAGCAGAAGAGGCAGCAGCAGCAGCGGCAGCAGCAGCAGCAGCAGCATCAGACATATTACCCCCTATCACGTATGCAGCAAACCCTGCCCCTACCTCTGTGTGGCCCTACTCGGGAGACACCCTAGAGCAGCAGCAGCAGCAGCAGCGCGAGGAGCAGCAGGTGCCGCTCTCCTTCCCGCCCTCAATACATCCACAGGTGCAGCAGCAGCAGCAGAAGAAGCTGCAGCAGCAGCACTGGGCGTCTCTTGGGGGCCTCACCGACCGTGGACGCGACAGTCTGAGTGCTTCTTATCTGCCGCAGCACTCCGCTGTCTATACTCCTCTCCAGCATGTTGCCAGCACTCCTGCAGCAGCAGCAGCAGCAGATAGCTGCAGTCAGGGCCCTTTCGGCATACCCTTCCAAAGCCCTGACACGCTGGAATCGATTCTGCTGAACAACCAGCAGCTGCTGGGGCAGCTGCAACAGCAGCAGCTGCTGCTGCAGCAAACCGCGGCACAAGGTAGCCTTCAGAGCCATCATCCGCAGCAGCTGCTGCTTGTACACCCCAGCGAGCTGCTCCCCAACTCGCAGCCCCACAGCATGCCGGTGCTGCAGGGCAATGAGTATTTGCTCATAGAACCTTCGCAATACCAACACGTGCTGCAGCAGCAGCAAATGCTTCTGCAGCAGCAGCAGCAGCAGCAACTCGCCAAACAGCAGCACCTGCACGCGCCTTCTACGTGGGACTATATGCCGCCGCAGCAGCCGCAGCAGCAGTTTCACTTAACAGCAGAAACCCTGCCCTCGCAGCAAGGGATTCGGCAGCAGCAACAGCATCAACAGCAGCACCAGTAGTAGTCTGGCGTGCTGCACTTCGCTTCGAGCAGATAAAGCAGCAGCACCGCTTCCTAAACTAGCTGCAGTGGCTGGGTGGTGCGTGTACACCTCAGGATCCTCAGCAGCTGTGTTTCTTCCCGTGGCTAGCTAACTAGCTAGCTGGGTAGCTACCTGGATAGCTAGCTAGCTAGCCAGCTAAATGCGTATCATCCGTATCTCCCTCCGTCCTGCTTAGAGTGTGTGGTTAGCTCCGCAGTCAGTCAATCGTTTACGACGGCAGCGCTTCTGCCATAAGTTTTGGCTTTAGGGTTTAGGGTTTAGGGTTTAGGGGTAAAAGGCTCAAGCGTTTAGGGAGTTGGGGCTTGCTGGCAGCCAGGGGCTTTCTCTAATTCGGGTGTACAGACAGACAGCTCAGTGCTTGCGCTGGAAAGCTTCCTACAAGCAGCTTAGGGTTTAGGGTTTAGGATTTTTGGCCTGGTAGCAGGTGGTTAACCGTAAACCCTAAACCCTACTCTTCTGTATACACCAGGTCTAGGGTTTAGGCTTTAGGGTTTAAACTAAGCCCTGCCTTGCACACACACCCTTGAAAGGCCCTGTAGGCCTACGCCCCCAGCTTAGGGTTAAAGCGCTTAGAACAACGGAGATGAGGAGACACCTGGTTGGCTATAGAGCGACAAGGAGACACCTGATTGTTTATTAAGCTCGCTACAGTTAGCCAGCAGATAGGCGGCTAGCTGCAGCAGCTAGCTGCGGCACACCAGTGGGTCGGTCGATGGCTAGCTGCGACAGCTAGCTGCAGCTAGCTGTCGATCCCCCCAGCCGTTGCTTCCTCTCCCGTTGCTGCTGGTTGCAGCAGGAGATCAGCAGCCAGTGCAGCAGCAGCTCTGTCCTTTTTCTTCTCCGCTGAAGGCAAGCGAGTCCAGATCCCCTAGAAAGGGTTAAAAGTGTATATATATATATATATATATATATATATACAAAACAGGTGGGCGAGCTCTCTGTGCAGA